CAGGAATGAGCAGGAAAAAAGCAGTTCAGTGTCAGTGTGTCAAATGTGCCATTAACAAAATAAAAGCACCTAAATTCTAAATGCATTTGTCTTGGGGATTAATGATCCCTGATTGGCTGAATTACTTATGGCCACTTAGAGGGCTTATCAATGAATCAGTAACAGGAGCTCTTAACAAAGCACACATCTATGGATAATCCCTCTTTTCAGTCAGCTCCCCCACTTGTTTGCTTTCTTTATCCCCATCTGGTATGTTTGGCCTGGCACAATTAAGGTATAGCAGAACCAGTATGTAGAGAAACAGAAGCTGAGGACAGTAGGTTTGTGTGTATTTAGAGTGATAGATATAAAAGAGCTAGTGGTAGAAAGAAAGGATGTAGAGAGTAGCAGTGAGTAAAGGAAACAGACAGAGACAAAAACAAATGTTATTCTTTTAATTATTTACATTGTTCATATTTTATTTAGTCCATATATTGGTTCAATTTTATTTTCTGCTGTTTCCTTTCAACAAGTGCTTTTAAACTCAACTCACTAAACTCTAACTAAAAGGACTATCTGCCCGGTGTTTGGAGCCAGATTGCAAAGCTCTTTCCAAGAAAATGTTGAAAGAAATTACTGGGAAATTGTGGAACTGATTCCTCAACATTAAGTTCTAAATGCCGTTTCAAAGCCTTCTCAATGTTGCCAGGAATTAAATTTGGGAAGAAATACTTAGTTTTGTTGGCATGAATGAAAATGAAAAACATGGAGTGAAGGTGAGGAGCAAAGAGAAGAGGCCATAAAACAACTGAAGAAGAGATGCTGGAAGGAGGAGAAGAGGAAGAGGAGGAGACAGGTGAGCAGAAAAGAGAGAAGAAGCAAAATGAGGAAAACTAAACTAAGAAAAGCAGAGAAAAGAATAAGGAAAAGAGAAGAGTAGGAGAGAAACGAAAGGAGGAATACAGAAGGCAAAAGTTGGAAAAAAGTAAAAGAGAGGACAGGAAAGGAGCTGAAAGAGAAATGGAAGTAGAAGCAAGGAAGCAAAGAAAAACAGAGGAACAGAAAACGTGATGAAGAGATGAATAGAAGAGGAAACAAGGAAGAGAGAGGAGAGGAAGAATGAACGTGACAAGAAGGGTCAAAAAGAGGAAGGAGAGAATAGTGAGGAAGAGGAGCAAATGGCAGAAGAAGACAAAGCAACAGTGTATGAGAAAATAAAAAGGAGGAGCAGAAGAGGATAAAAACCCCTCTAGTTGTTTTCTTCATGAACACATTTGGGTCAGATAAGGGGCAACATCCTAGGGTTATTCCAAGAAGAGATGCTTTCAACCCACATAAACACATTATGCTCCTGTCTTAACACGCCCCAACACATACACACAAACCATAGACTGCAGATCTCATGCTGCTTCTATGTCATGTCCCTCAGTTTACTCCTCCAGAAAACCCAACTAACTTTATAACAACACACCACTAAAATCTGCACTTCCTGATTACAGC